GGGCTCTTTTTGTGCTGGCAAAGAATTGGAAATTGAGGGGATGCCCATCAATTGAGGAATGGCTGAACAAAGTGTGGTATATGAATATAATGGAATACTATTGTTCTTTAAGAAATGATGAGCAGGCGAATTTCAGAAAAACCTGGAGAGAGTTACATAAACTGATGCTGAGTGAAGTGAGCAGAAACAGGAGGACGTTGTACACAGTAACAGCCACATTGTGCAATGACTGACTTTGATGGACTTAGCTCTTCTTAGCAATGCAAGGATCTAAGACAATTCCAAAAGACTCATAATGGAAAATGCTATCCACATCCAGAGAAAGAACTATGGACTCTAAATGTAGATTGAAGCATGCCATTTTCTCTCTTTTTTTCCTTTGTTGTGGTTTTTCCCTTTTATTCAGATTCTTTTTTCACAACATGACTAATGTGGAAATATGTTTAATATGACTGTACATGTATAACCTATATCAGACTGCAAACCATCTTGAAGGGGGAGAGGCAAGGAAGAGGGAAAAATTTAGAATTCAAAATCTTATAAAAGTGAACGTTGAAAACTAAAAATAAATAAGTAAAAAATGAAGGAAAGAAAAAATATGCAATGTACCACATCCATAGTCCCTATCCCTGAAAAAAGGGAGGGAGGGAGGTGAATTTTCTAATTTCATCTTTGGGTTCCGACTTTGTCATTATGATGACACATTGTTCACTTTCACTTTTTGTGTGCATTCTTTCTATTTACATTGCTGTGGTCATTGTGCACATTATTTTCCTAGTTATGCATCGATTCATTTAAGTGTTTCCATGCTATTGTGAATTCTTCATCTTCATCATTTTGTGTTTCAGTAATATTTCTTTAATTTCATGTAAAGCAATTTTTTTATCCATTCCCCAATCTACTTTGTTTCCAGTTCTTTGCTACTCCACAGATAATAGCTATGGATATTTTGTTGTATATGTGATATTTCTTTCTGTCTTTGAAAAGTGACCTAGCAGTAGCATCTAGGGGTCAAAATGTTTAGAAATTTTAGTTACTTTCTTAGGATAATTCCGAATTGTTTCCCAGAATGGTTGAATCCTTTTATAGCTCCACAAACAGTTTATTAGTGTACCTATCTTTTCTCATCCCCTCCAGCATTGACTATAAAAATTGAATTATTGCTACATATCTAAGCATAGACACTAAAATGTAGCATAATCTATGTATGAAATTAATCCATGATGAGTTGAATATTGAAATCCTTGAAACTCTAACACATTGCTTATGTAATAAATTATTTTATATAGGTGTTCACTTCTTTGCTGAACAACTAGAAAAATATCATAGAGAACACAAGGATGCCTTAAGTCTAAGGCCTACCAGAAATACAGGATTATTGCTTATTGACACAAAAAAAATGAAACAGAAACTAATTCCATCACCAATGCGTTGCTTGGAAGTAAGTAAGCAGAAAACTGTGTAGCCTCTATTCTTGTCTGAAAGTCACATATTGCAATAACATGAGCTCCTCGGCAGTATTTTGTTTCTAGTATTGACAATGTTTTACTGTTAGCACCAGACTATTAGCCATTCCTTCTTTTCAAAATAAATTCTTCAGTTCTTCCTTTCTGTTCCCAGTTTTAGGGAAAGGTTGATCCAAAACTTTGTTTTACAAGGATTTAGGGTTATTCTTCTAGACTTTTCCCCCTCTATATGAGCCCCCTCTCTCAATCCTCTCCCCACCTCCCATGAAGTCATCACACTCCAGGAGTGTTTGGGTGATAGTTCAATGTGCTAGGTGTGGGTCTTCTATGGCCACCATTTGGACCCACATGGCCTAAATCCCCAGGAATTCTAATTGGTTCCAGGATGTGCAGGAACATTTTAAGGATTGTGAGATCATGCCTTCTCTGGCATGAAATCATGCTTAGAGATTTTTCCCTACATGGACAAATCTCAGTAATCCAGGAATTTAATATAGTTCTCATATACTATGGGGTTTCCCGGATACACGGGCAGGAGGACTTGCTCTGCCTCTAGAAAGCCAATGTGGTGAGGTGGCTAGAACACAGAACAAGGAGTCCTGAGTTCTAGGACCCCAACACAGTCATTGTTTAGCAGTGTGACTTTGGCCAAGTGAATGTTGTCTCAAAGTAAATATGTTGGACTTCATTATCTGGAAGTTTCTTCCATTCCTAAAATTCTGCAATTTTATCCTCTTCCCTCTAATTTCTTACATATAAAGGAACCCCTCGCAAAGGTCTCAGCATTCAGCCCACCTGGGAGCACTCCACAAAGTCACCCACCTGAGCCACACCGGTGGTGCCAGTCACAGTACTGGAGGCTGGGGATACAACAACAAGGCAGAAAATGGTCACTGCGCTCAAGGAGCCCATAGTCTAACACTCAAGATTAATCTAAAACATACAGCAAAAAAAAAGTGGAATTTCAAGATTTTCCTTCAATGTTTTTGCTTTCTTAGGTCATAAACAACATGCTTCCTCTCCAAAGCAAGAAAAAAGTGGATGCTATTATCTCTGAGGCCCAAGATGCAAAGTACAAACTCGAGTTTGTCCCAACTGCAACTGTCGAATATGTCAATAGCTTGAACTTCCTTGATGAAATACAGGACAGGGTGAGTGCCTAATCTAAGACGAATGAATGGACCATATCTTGTGGCTGAAGAAACTGCTTTGGGGAAACATCGTTCTTTCTTTGTGTTTGTTATCAAAGTGTCTTGAATACTCTTACCAAACGTAAATTTGGAGAGCATATGTGACCTTGGGTCACATTCTTCAAATGAAGCTTGTGTGTTTGTGTGTGTATATGTATATACATACACATGTCTATGTATATAGACACATACAAACATGCATATGTATGTATTAATGTATATATTAACATATACATGTTATTCCTCTCTTATCTGTAACTCATGCTTTTCCATCACGAAATGAGCATTTATTCCCACTGCCATCATCTTAGTAAAGGCTCTTATACCTAGATTCCTGAAATAGCCACCTGAATATTCTCTGCTTGCTCCAATGTATTCTTTACTCTGCTGCATAATTAATTACAGCTAATAATAATAGCTAACATTTCTTTATATAACACTTTAAGACTTGCAAAGTGCTTTATGTGTCTTATCTCATTTGGTCCTCACAATAACCCAATGAGGTGTAGGTGCCATTATTATCCCTATTTTACGGGTGAGGAAACTAAGGCTGTGAATTGGTCACACAGCTGGTAAGTATCTAAATTGGGATTTGAACTCAGGTCTTCTTGACTCTAAATCCAGTGCTTTGGTCTTTTTTATACATCAATTTTATTACATCATTCCTGTACTCAAAACTCTGGGTTTCCATGATCCTGCTTTCCCTCAGTTTTCCTCCTAACTATCTGATTGTCACCTCTCCATATCCTTTGTTAGAATTAAATCTATGTCATGCTCACTAATATTGGGTGTCTTCCAAGACTCTGTCCTGGGCCCCTTTTTTCTCTATACTTCCACACAAAGTGATCTTATTAATTCCATAGGTTCAATTACCATCTGATTCAAAATTCTGTAACTCCAGTCCTAGTCTCACTTTGAATCTTCAATACCAACTGACTATTGGACATTTTGAACTGTGTCTCATAGGCATGTAGAAATTCAGCATATTCTGAATAGAATTTGTTACCTTTTCCCCCAGCTCTTCCCTCTTCTGCACTTTCCCATTACTGTTGAAGACACATAGATTCTCAATTTCTGTGCCATTCTTGAATCCTAACTCTTGCTCACCCCATATATTTAATCTGTTGCCAAACCTTGTCATTTTTACCTTCACAATATCTCTTTTCTAAGTCTTCTTATCTCCAGTTGCACATTTTTATTTATTTTATGTATGTATGTATGAATGTATGTATGTATGTATTATTTCTTTATTTGCAAGGCAATTGGGGTTAAGTGACTTGCCTAGGGTCACACAGCTAGTAAGTGTCAAGTGTTTGGTCTGAGACCCGATTTGAATTCAGGTCCTCCTGACTCCAAGGCCAGAGCTCTATCCACTGCACCACCTAGCTCCCCCTTCCAGTTACATGTTTTTAAAATTTTTGAATTTAAACACCAAAAAAAAGAACATTTCTATACATACAGCAGAACATAAAAATAGAAATCAATATAAGACAGCAATTTTCTACATCACATTCCTTTTTTAAAAGTACATAATAAATTCTACGTGTTACTTTCAAAACTATCCTGCTTTTCTGTGCTTCCTTCTGGACTTCCTTGTCTTCTGTGAATTTTGAAGAATGTTACAATGGCCCCTTCTGTTTTTTTAAGTCTCACTATTGCTACCCTCCTCACCTCTCCCCTCTCACCCACCCCCCCAATTTAAAAACCAAGAGAAAATAAGGGGTGAGAACCCTTGTAAGAAATAAGTATAGCCAGACAAAATGAATCTTCATGGTAGCCATGACTGGAAAAGTGTGCCTCCTTCTGACCCTTCTGTCCATCTTCTTTCTGTCAGCAGGCAGGTCTTATGCTTTGTCGTAGGTCCTCTGAAGACGTGGTTGGTCGTTGCAAAGATCAGAGTTCTTTAATCTTTCACAGTTGTTTTTTATTAACAGTGTCACTCTCTTAGAATGAATTTTACTCCTGTCTATGGTCATGTCACTCTTTGGAAGGTCGTACTGCCCCAAGAGTCCCATATTGTGCCATAAGAAATTATAGAAGAGATTTCAGAGAATCTGAGGCTGTATGAACTTAAACTTTGGAGTCTTCAGTCCCAGAACTTTAGTACCTTTTATAGGAACTTCAGTCTTCTTCTGAGCTCACTTTAGAGTAAACACTGTAGATATCTATTATCCATTTGAAATCTGAATGCAAATGGTAGGAAATGCAATGTAAAATGTGGTAAATGCATCAACACATCATGAATTTAAGGAGATACTTACTGGTGCAAATTTAATATGATATATCATGATAAAAATATTAGCTAGCATTCATATAGAACTTTAAGGTTTGCAATGTTTCACAAATATCACATTTCATCAGTTTCTGCTATATATTCTTTTTCTAGATGTCTTGTGGAAGAAAAGCACCTTTTTAAGGATAGATAGGATATGACTTCCATTATAATTCTAGTTTCGTGGAATATAAGCTATTTGACGATCTATCATTTCTGATCTAAAGCATAGAATCTTAGGGTGGGAAGGGGACTTAGAGACCGTTTCTTCACCCTATCCTCAGTACATGTAAAATGTGCATTTCTGCTTTAAGGAAAATTCTCTTCTACATAAATTGACATTCATCTTCATCTATGTTCAATAGCGATCCCCCTAGAAGCTCTGTGTTATGTGTGAGTGAGTGTGTGTGTGTGTGTGTATGTGTGTACGCATGAGTCAGGCGTAAATAGGATTACCTAGTTTTCTCCAATGGTCAATACTGTGTCAACTCTAACAGTCAGTCAAGAAGCATTTATTTAGTACTTACAATATACTAGGCATATGCTACATACTAGAAATACTACTACAAGAGAAAAGAAAGGCAGTCCCTACCCTCAAGGAGCTTACTTTCTAATGGAAAAAGACAACACATGATAATGAATTGAGAAGGGGAGGAGAGTCAGGAGTAGAGCTGGGAGAGTAGTGAAGTAGCTGGCCTCAGTGTGTCCTCAGAATGTTCTGGAAGGAATATGTAACATGTTTTTTGGTTTTTGTTTTCTTGGGTTTTTTTAAGTTGTTTCTTATAGTTGTTGGCCAGCACTATGTAGGACAATAAAGCACTTGAATAAAAATATGTTCTGGAAGGAATGCACCAATGGGAAGACAAGGCAGTGGAGTGGAGGGATCTTTCAGGGTAAGAAGGAAGGCCTCCTCTGAGATTGTTATTTTGGCAATAAACAATGGGACACTTGGCATATTGATCCCAATGAATAAATAGGCAGTTTTTCTCAGAAGAGAGAGAGTGGTTTAATGGATCCATAGACCAATATCCCCACCTTTCCCTGGACAACCAGGTGGGCACATAAATTCCTATGTTGTACTAACACATGACAACAAGACAGACAAAGGACATGATGGTGAATGGAAGCAGACTCGATTCCAGATGTGTAACTAACGCTAAGACAGTGCTACAAAACAGACTGTAGAAGCTAATGGTTAAACAGTTTATGCACATATTTGAAGCTATAGAAAAGGACATTTGCTACAAGATGAAATGCAAGGGGAAGAATAGGTGTGCCATCTATCATCCCAAGCAAACATTCACCAAATCACTTCTTGACCACCTGGTGCAAGTAATGTTTATCCCTGGTCTAAGTATGTGACTTAACTCCTAAATGTCTTGAAATACCCTCCAAACATTTAAGGCATGCCATACAGACCAGAGGAGGTCTGTGTGTGAGAGAAGGAGGAGAGAGAAAGAGAAGAGAGACGGAGACACATACACACACAGAGACAGAGAGATGGGAGAGAGAGACAGAGAGAGACAGACAGACAGACAGAGAAGAAAGAGAGGAAGAGGGAGAGAAGGAGAAGAAGAAGGAGGAGAGGAGAGGGAGAAAAAGTGGGAGAGAGAGGGAGAGGGAAAGAGAGGAAAGGAGACACAGAGAGACAGAAAGAGACTAAGAGACAGAGACAGAGTGACAAAGATAGAGACAGGGGGAGGAGGGAGGAAAGGAGAGGAGGGAGGAAAGGAGAGGAAGAGGGAGGGGAGAGGGAGAGAGAGAGGGAGAAGAAGAGAAAGACACACAGAGAGAGACACTGAAGGGGGGAGAGCAGAGACAGAGTGACAGAGACAAAGAGAAATGAAACTGTCACGGTGTCAGACTGTTGACAATGGATCTTTTTATAGCTCGTGAAGAACGAATAGAAGAGGGAAAAAAACCTTTATTTGATTCCATTAACATAACAGTTATAGTCATTTGTGTGAGCTATTTCTCCCTATAGTATGATAGAAAGGGCACAGGACTGAGAGTCAGAAACTTTTCCTCTGTCACTAATGTTTGTGACACTGGTCAAGTTACTCCCCCTCTCGGACTCTGTTTCCTCCTTTGTAAAAACCAAGGGCTTGAACTAGAGCATTGATGTCCAACTCAAATAGGAACAGAAGCCACTGAACCATACATAAGGATGCCTGTGGGCTGCATGTTAACTTAGAAAACCACACATTAACATTATCTATGTTCTAGTGTGTTTTTATTTATTTGGTTAACTATTTCCCAATTACTTTTTAATCTGCTTTGGGCCACACTAAGGAGTGTTGTGGGGTCTCTTTTTTAACTCCTCTGGGCTGGATGATTTCTAGAGTTTCTCCTGGCTTTACAATTCTAGGTTCTTTGTTCTGGTTTCCATGCAGTGCAGTGATGATTATGCCTATATGATTGCATCTGTGAAATGGACTTTGTTACTGTACATTTTATTTACTTATAACAGTAAATTCTCATCTCCTATGCCCAGGCTTGAGAGGGTGTTATTTTTATAGTACAGAGGTCCACAGATAATTGACAAAATTGTAAGACACATTAATAGTGATTCATTCCAAAAAGTTGGGAGTTTCCTATATCAAATGCTCTCGCCTTTAGATTGAAAGTCTTGAAGATGAAGCCGACACCGTTGCTAAAATATATAAGCTCATTGAACAGTATCAAGTTCCTACACCCCCTGAAGATTTTGCCGTGTTTGCCACCATGAAGCCATCGATTGTCGCAGTCCGAAATGCTATCGATAAGTCAGTGGGTGAAAGAGATGCCAGCATTAAATTGTTCTGCCAACATTTGGACAAAGATGTCGATGAGCTAAATAATGAAGTGAATGGAGTAAAGCTCCAAGCCCAGGTATTTAAAAACCCTTTCTTCGTCTGTTGTTTGGGAAATTGGTGCCGCCACATGGAATCAAAGCACTTACAATCACACCATGTGACTCTCAGTATATATTGGCTCAACCAATGTTGGTCTCATTGTTTTACTTAGGAAAAAAAGGATTATTCTTCAGGAAGTGTCTTGAGCATTTATCCCTACATAGTGTTTTGTGTAACAGTATAGGTACCATAAACTTGGACTTTTAGAATTGAAAGTACACCTGAATGAATTTCCCACCACTCCTTGTAAAACAAAATTTATATATTGAATTATATTTTCTCATAGATTTTGATTATCATCATATTTTATATGTGCAATTAGTTTCCAGTCATCTTCAAGATGCAACTTTGACTTCTCTTTTTTTTTTTTTTAAAGTCATAGCTTTGAAAAAAGGTTTTAGTTGACTGGAATTAATTGTATGGTGGAAGGATGATTTCTGGGGGCAATGAGGAGGATGTAATTTGAATGTTTACAAATTTTGAGGGTGAAGCTTGGGCTTGCTAATTTCTTTGCCTTTTATTTCCATATCCACTCATATGAATGTGTGTATTGGGTTGCCATTCAAAGCCTTTCTTTTTGAAAAACGGGAACAATCACTGAGAACTACTTTCCTGAGATATTAGAAGAATTAGTAAATCATAAAACGTTTGGGTTGGGTCTTAGAGATCAACAAATCTAGAAATTTGTCTGATTCATGAGGAGAAAAGTTGGGGAATAGATTAAGCATTTACATGGTACCTACTATGTGCCAAGCACTGTGCTTAGCACTTTACAAATATTATCTCATTTTATTGGAAAACACAGCTGTCTCATCACACCTCAATAGAAATTGTTTTTCTCTATTGGAGCTCTGTACTATTAGGTCATCTAAAGTGGATGTCCTGAATGGGTCACCCCCTCTTTTGTACATGGGGTCCCAGAACAGCTAAGATCCTGTGGATTCCAGATACTATGTGGATCAACATCTAAACTCAAACTATAGCTCATGAACTCCTACCAATTTGTTTATTTTTATTAGTCAGCCAAATATGCAATTAATTTAAAGCAAAAAAAAATTTATTTAACAGCAGAGTAAGTAAATTAGCAATACAACATTTCTCCTATGCACCTGAGATATACCGTCTCAGAAATATGCATACTTTTAGTAGAAAAATGGACACGCTTCAGGAACATGTACGAAGGGACACACAGAGGGAACATGATGTGTCCAGGGAGAATAAATAGATGAATCCATAGGGAAGAAAAGAATATAGCCAGTGTTTGTGTGTAGAGGAGGCACACCTGTAGGGAAACTAGGTCAAAGGCCATATGAGGGAAAGGACAACTAATGGCCCTGATCCCATAGGGTCACTGATGTTTTCTGGTTATGTCAACATAGTACTCTTGCCAGGAGTATTCCATGCTGGTCTCACGTGGCAGATAGTCTCTGCCAGGAGGTGTTGAGGTCGTAGTCACCGCTAGGCCATGTTCCCTTGGTCCAACAATTGCTGCCAGCTATGATTCAGTGGGGCAGCATGTGGTTGTGGAGTTTCTCTGCTTCCAGTTTCTGGTTTCAGTTAGAATCCTCAGCTGAGGAAGAATGGAGAACACATCTGTACACCATCTCTTTTTTTATTAGAGCCCACATAAAGGCATAAGTTTCTTAAGCTATTTAGAGAGACAGCCCTTTACACACACAGTATCAAATAGGAAGTAAAAAAAAATGCTACACCATTTGCTATCCACGTGTCAATTCCCAGAACCTAGAAGGTAAATTTGTGTCCCCAGAGGGAAAATCTTCCTCTCTTTAAGATCACAGAACAACCATCCCTCTAAGTAGCACCAAAAGGCTTTTAATTGTGCTTGAAATTCCTCCTGTTGTTCTCCAGAGTGAGGTCTTTGTCCCATGACTCTATTTGACTTAAGTTTAGAAAATTCTTGTATCTCCTACTTGATTTCTTGATGTTAATTGTGTGCATCCCCCCCAGACAAAGGGTGAGAGTTCTGCAAAAGGAAAATACACAAGAGTGATGTGGGTCTGGGGTTTTTATTAAGCCCAAAAGTCTCTGGTCTTGCAAACAAATGAAAGCAAAGAAAGAAAGATGGAACAGAAATCCTAAGTGGAAGCTCAGTGCACTCTTCCTCTCACCTTCATCCTTGGTTCCAAATTCCTGTCTTTAATACATAGCAAGGACCCCAGGCTTTGTTATGTCCAACACATATCCAAAAGACTTATTATCCACTGCTGATCAATGTTTTATTTTGTTTTGTTTTTCACAGGATCCACAGATTTTGGACGTTGCGGCCGACCAAACAAAAATAAAAGTGCTTTTACGTGAATTACAGCTGACTCTGGATGACCTCCAGAAACGTGCTTTCCAGTACAAATCCTACCAGAAAAATTTTAAGGTGACCACATCTGTAAATGTATTTTTTAAAAATTATAAAGCTCCTTCTCTTGGCATTGAAGGTCCACCACAATCTAGCTCTATTCCACCTTTCATTTCCTACTGCTCCCCTTTACAAAGTCTGTGTTTTAGCCAGACTGGACTATCAGCCATTTCTCCATCTAGTCCAACCTTCTACCACTTCCATGCATTTGCACAACCATTCCTCCATGCCTGAAATAGATTCTCTCCCCACCTTTACTGGTTGAATCATTCTCTTTCTTGGAGATCCAACTCAGACGCTGTCTCTTTCCTGAATTTCAATTCAGTTTTCGGTAGAATTCAGTAAGCATTTACACATACATTGTGTGTTATTAGGCACCAGGGATATAAAAAAAAAACGCAAAAACAGTCCCTGTCTTCAAGGAGCTTACAGTCTACTTGGTGGATACAGCATATCCATAGATCAGTAAATAAAGAATATACACGAAATAAAGGCACTGTAACTTTGGTTGAAGTAAAGCAATAACCATGGAGGGGTATCAGAAAAGGCAATTGCTTAAGCCTTGAAGGATATTAGAGAATCCAAGAAGTGAAGGAGAGGAATGAGAACATTCTGGGTACAGTGGGCAGCCTATTCCAAGCTAAGGAAGCTGTAGTGGAAGGCATGCATAAGGAACCACAAGAAGGTCATATTGGCTGGAATATGGGGATGGAGGGGCACATGGAGAGAGATGCAAAATTATTCCTGAAAGAGAGGTTAAAGTTAGATTATAAAAGTTATTGTATTTTATCTAAAAGACAAAAGGAAATCATGCTTCTTGAGCAGGGGAGTGATATGGAATATCAGTTTCCATGTAAGAATATCAATTTGAGGATGGACTGGAGAAGGTTGAGGCTGGAGGCAGAGGAGTCAATGAGGAGGCCTTTTGCAATAATCCAGGCAAGAGTTGATGCCTAGGATGGTGGCTATGTGAGTGAAGGAGAAGGAAGCAAGACAAGTGGAGGTAGGATTAGCGATCCTTGGCAACTGATTGGATATGAGAGGTGAGGGGAAGAGAGACATTAGCCCTTGTTTCCTGCTATTGTAATTTTCTTTCCACTTTGGGTCCATTTGCTATCCACAGACTCCAATAACTGGCAGGTTTGTCCTTGCCTGTGTGTCTAATTCTATTTTTTTTTTGCACCAATGCTAAAGGAAAGCATTTATTTTCATGAAGAGGAAACTGTGTGACTAATTCTATAGGCAGAGAATTAAAAGATGCTTCTTTACTTCATTATTCAGAGAGAAACATATTCTGATTAATTCTTTTTCCTTTCTCCTAAAGGTAGAAGTGTCTAAATTTGAGGCTCTTGAAGAAGTCAGTGCAGAGCTGAAATTAAAGCAGCTGCTCTGGGATTCTCTCTCTGAATGGGACATCCTCCAAGAAGACTGGTTACAGGTAGAGGAAAGATACACTCTTATAATTTTAATTCTTAAATAAGTGAGCACAAGCTTACATGTTAAACCTGGTGGCCAAAATTGGATGTTTTTTCCCCTGAAGTTGTATTAAAGGTCAAATTCCACTGCACTGGGCATCAGGAGACTTGGTTTTGAAGTAGCATTCACTCTACCACCAACTAATTTAACCTCCTGCATTCTTCATCTTTAAAAGGAAGGCACTGGATTAAATGACTCCTAAGATTCTACTTGTAACATTCTAAGAAGTCAGTCTTTAAAACTCTGTATCTCAAACTTGAAGGAAAGTTTCTCCAGCTTATGCATGTGATTCACCAGAATTTCACATTATCAGAGATCTACCATAAAGCAGAATTCATTATGGAAGGTCTTGTATGAAACATGAAGGCTCTATCACGGGCCAAGGAGGAATCATTATAGAAGTAGGAAAAAGACTTCATTCTAAGACTAGGGGAGGATCTAGACCTGTAATTTCATTGACACAAAGAACTCACAGATGAGGAAGTTCTCCCTACCAATGTAGATCAGCACTTTCTCAGTAATTTATAGTCTTAGAGAATTTCTTAGACTAGAGTATCAAGTGCTCTACAGTGTGATCTGAACCAGATTAAAATGTAATTTGGAAATATTTAACAAAATAAAAGAAAATTTAAAAATACATCAAAAAACATTTATTAAGCTCCTGTCACATGCCAGGCACTGTGCTAACCACTTGGGATACAAAGAAAGGCAAAAACCAATTTCTGCCCTCAAGGAATTCACAATCAATTGGAGAAAGGCTACAAGTACTTGTGGGGTGGGGGAAGGAAGGGAAAAAAAAGACTTTTACATGATAACTTTGTTATATATTTAAAAGGAATAGCAAGTTGTACCTAATAGATTTGCAGTTTCATATGCAATCATCTTTCTTATTGTATTATGTTATGGAAATGCTTGTTTTATTCCATGAATTAAACATAAAAAAATTTAAAATGTAAAAATAAGTAAAAACACAATAAAACAGAGATAATATTAATATGTGGTTTTCTAAGTCAATAGTGACCTCAGGGATCCTTAGGTACTGTTTAGTAGGCCCCATTTCTATTTGAGTTTGGTACCACTGACCTTGAATACTGAAAGGTTAACAGACTTGCCCAGAGTCCCAGAGGCAGGACTGGAAGCCAGGTCTTCCTGGCTTCTTCTATCTTGTCTCTCTACCCATTATTACATGCTTCCTCTATTCTAGAACAGAATAACCTACAACATTGTCCCATGGTATGAAAATGAAGGATGATATTCACAGCACCACAGAACCTCAGAGCTGAATGGTTTCTCAGAGGTTGTTTACTCTAAGCTGTCAAGGATTTCTTCTGCTATGTACCTGGTGTACAAGTGGCCATCAGCCTTCCCTTGAAGGTTTCTGAGCCTGGCTGCATTACCACCAAGGCAGCCCATTCCACTTTTGGGGTGTTCTCATTGTCAGGAAAAGTTTTCTTACTTCCACCTGAAGTCTGCTTTCCAGCATTTTCTATACCTGGGTTCCACCCTCTGAGATAAGCCAGAACAAATCCAATCCATATTTTCCTATGAGAACCTTTAAAATACTTAAAGATAGAGGTGCAAGTATAGAGATACAGGTGATAAAAATACAGGAATAGAAACAGAGATGATAGAGAGAGACAGACAGACAGACAGACAGAGATTGAGAGATTTTTTTTAGGTGTTATGTGCCAGGCACCATGTTGGGCACTGAGGATACCAATACGAGCAAGCCCTTCCCTGCCCTCAGGAACCTTACATTCTAATGGGAGAGGACAACTCATAATGAGGAGCTGGGAAGTGACGTGGGGCCCTGATTCTAGTCAAGACAAGATGAAAGCTGACTCTCATAGCCGGGAACCCGGCTTCGGGTGGGAGGGAGATGAGCGTTAATGGCTAGAGGGCAGAATCCACACCCCCACTCCTTGGAGCACCAGGTGGTTATTGTGATTGTTGAATCGTGTCCAATTCTTTCTTGGCAAAGATACTGGCGTGGTTTGCCATTTCCTTCTCCAGCTCATTGACAGATGAGGAAACTGAGGCAAATAGGGATAAATGACTTGCCCAGGGTCACACACCTAGTAAGTGTCTGAGGTCACGGTTAAACTCAGGTCTTCACGACTCCAGGCTCAGCACTCTGTGCAATATGGCGCCACCTAGTGGCCCAAAACAGTACTCCGAAGGTCCACATTTCCCTTCTGCAGGAAGATTCCCGTCCTTTCTCGGTTCAGCATTCTCAGGGCGTCTTTCTCATATGCAGTCATATTCTCCTGCCCACCAGCACAAGGCGACCTTCAGCCCTGCCTCTTTAGATTCCTCTCCTTTGTTTTTAGTTTGGAGCCTTTCTTCTTCCTTGGAGGACCCCTCCATTCCCCCCAATAGCCCAGAGAGGGGAGGGCTGCCCCTCGAGCCCCATAGCCTTCTGCAAGAAAGCCCAGCTCACACTTTGAGTGTAGCCATCTACAGTGGGGCTTGGCCTTGGCAGCAACGCAAACCGCCCGCTCTCTTTTAGGCAGGTTGTTGAATAATCTTCTTCGTCCTCGATGCTTGATGGAGGCAAACTGTTCGGTTGAGGCTCCAGTGTATGACATAAAGAGGGTGGGTTGCCCGTAACCACCCAACATAGCCAAGGATATGCTGGAGTCAAGTTGGACAGGCTCGCCAGAGCTGATTGTTAAATGTTCAGAACAAGCGTCTACCCCTTGGAGATCAGCAAAGGTTGCAAATCAGGGTTTGGTTTATTGTTTTGTGGATTGTCTAGACTTAAGAAAATGATGGAGAAAATAGTAACAATTCAGATTAAACTTAAAAGTATATAATGCATACACTTTTTGGAAAGCTGGTTCTTAAACATTTACCAGCACATTTTTTGCATTAATGAAGTTTTCCACTTAATAATTAAGTCAGTAAAGTAGCATAGTGGTCCTGAATTCAGGCAGATCGGAGTTCAAAACCTGTCTCAGACCATTACTAGTTGTGTGACCTTGGTCAAGTCATTCAACCTTGCTCAGCCTCAATTCCCTTATCTGTAAAGTAAAGGAGATAGACTTGATGTCTAGCCAGTCAATAAGCATTTATTAAACACTTACTATGTGTCAGGCACTGTGCTAAGCACTGTGGATACACCGAAAGGCAAAAACAGTCCTTGTGAGACAACACAAAAATTATTAGGTATGGACGGAGTAGAAGGAAAGCAATCCCTAAGTGAGAGGATAGCCACTTGGTGAACGAACCTTGGAAAGAGAGATAGTTAGAGCTGACTTGAAGGAAGCCAGTAAAGCTCCGGGCAGGAGTGACAGCAGCTACAAAGGCCCAGGGACCCAAGATCAAGGGCCTTGTTCAAGGACCATCGATAGACCGATATGCCTGCATTGGCAAGTGTATGCGGAGGAGAATCAAGTGGAAAAAGACTAGAACTCATTTCTACTCATTTTACCTTTTCTCTCATTCTTTTTAAAAACACTTGTCATTGTCAACTTCTAATGTATTGATTTCTTATTCTTACAGTGTAAATTTGAATTTCTGGATCCAGAGACTCTAAATTCTCAAGTTTCAAAGTACTCCAAATTTGTGAATCAGTTGGAAAAAGGTTTACCCCCTAATAATGTGGTGCCGCAGCTCAAGGCTAAGGTGGAGATGATGAAGGAAAAAGTAAGTGACCATGGTAGGGGAATTCTTTCCATATTCTGGGTCACAGTCCTGCTGATGGTTTGCAGAAAAAGGAATCAGAAAACTGTCATAAAGCCACAGATGATAGTCCTCAAGCCAATCAGCCATCATTGACATAATGCTACTTAAATCATCAGGGGCTCAATGTGGGTAAGGGTTTGTACAGAGAAAAGACTGAGTTTTTTAATTTATGGAATAAAACAAGTATTTCCATAACACAGTATGAGAAAAAAAGATGATTACACATGAAACTGCAAATCTATTATGTACAACTTGCTATTCCTTTTAAATATATGTTATCATGTAAATTTCTTTTTTTTTCTTTTTCTTCTTCCCTTTCTCCCTCCATGCCCTACAGATGGCCACCATTAGACACAAATATATATATGTATATATATATAATTATTTGATATATGCTTCTATTTATCACTTCTTTCTCTAAATGCAGATAGCATCTTTCTTCATATGCTCTTTATTCTTAATTTGTGTGTTTATAATAGTCAGAATGACTTAGTTGTTCTTAAAATAATACTGTGTTCTCTTGGATCTACTCATTTCACTCTTCATCATTTCATGCAAGTCTTCCCATGCCTTTCTAAGATCATTGAGCTCATCATTTCTTATAGCACGGTAGTATTCCATCACAACCATACATCACAAGTTGTCCAGTCATTCCCCAACTGATGAGGATCCCTGCAGTTTCCAGTTCTTTGCCACCACAAAGAGAACCACTATAAACATCCCATTCACATTCAAAGTTATAATTACTATTTATGAATTTCCCTCCATCTTATTTTCACTCACTATTTTCTTTCTCAGCCTCTCTTTTTACCCTATCCCTGTTACCTTACATTCTCCCCCCACCCTCCCTGTTTCAAAGCCACAGGCTTTCCTAAAATCAACCATCCATCACATGAATTCTCCTGCTTGGAAGAGGGATTAGGTTGAAGTATGTGGGTGGTTAAGTATAATCTATCATTACATTTCTGACTTGGAGGTAAGAAGAACAAGAAAAATTACTTTTTAGCTGATGAGTTTGGCTTAAAGACATGCAGAAGGGGAGATAGCTTTGTACACTATGGAAAGTCGCTGGACTGTAGAGGAAAATATCTAAAGATCCTCTTGCTCCAGCTCTGAAATTAACTCACTGTATGATCTTGGGCAAGTCATTTAACCTCTGTAGGTCTCAATTTCTTCATCTGTAAAATGAAGAGGTTAGACTTAATTTCTGGGGTCCCTTCCAGCTCTATTATTTCATTCATCACGAGTCTGAAGGGTGGTAAAGAGGATGGGTAAAGAAGATAGAAAGGGCTTTCCAGAGTCGATTGCATCTACTTGGAAATAATCGAGTGATTCCATGGCCACCAATGGAACCAGAGAGCTATTCCTCTTTCATGTCACATTCCTTCCTCCAGCACACATGAAGATTTCAGTAGATCCCTCTTATGGTCTAGACTGCAAATCACCCATGTCTTCTCATCCTGTTCTTGCCTTTGTATTCCCCTCTCTTCCCCTAAGGGATCTGTCTGCCTGGGCCCAAGAGGTCTCTATAACTACCCCAGAAATAAAGCACAGCACTTCTTGGGGATGGAAGAATGCAATTATTCACTACACATTTCCATTGAGAATTAGTAAATGGTATTATCTTCATATATGGACCATCCATTTTATTATTTAATGTTTGTTAACATTAGCAATATTAATGTTATGCTATAAAATAAGTATAAAATTAATATTAATGTAATATTAAATATTTAATCATTATTCTGTCTTTAAAGCCATTTAAGTTATAAGCATTCATTAAATTGTGCACATTCTATGAAAGTATATGAAATTATGTCACTGTTTTGAAAATTAACATTAAAACAATCCATAAAAAACCTAAATTTCTGTTCATTATTGAATTCTTTCACCCAAATGAAATCTGAAGTGGTAGCATGTCTTCTGTGCCCTTCATCTAGTGCCCTGCTGTATATTCCTTTATAGGTTAATATCAACCCATTAAAGGTCATTCTTTGATCCCATTCACAATTCCAGCATCTTTCACCATTAAAATGGGAGCAAATATCCTTTGTTTTTGTTTTCTAGCTTCCAGTGATCACAGACTTGAGGAACCCCTTTTTGAAGCCAAGACACTGGGCAGCTATCGAGCAGATAGTTGATGTTACCCTTGTGGATCCCGAAAATCCATTAACTCTGCAACGTCTCATTACTATAAATGTTTTTGAATTTGGTCAAGAGATTCAGGATATTTCTGGGCAGGCCTCCGGAGAAGCCTCTTTAGAGACAATTCTCAAAAAGGTAAAAAACAAAACCACAACTTTAGCAGATGCTGGAAATCATATGATGAATATAAAGAAGACTGTTGTAGGATTGCTCTAGGTCATCTAAAGCTAGTCTTATTTATCCTCTTTGATTCAACCCTTTGTTCTAGCCTATAGAACATATATATACTGCTGGATGTGGTCTCTGCCATCCAGAATGTTAGCCATCTCCTCAAGCTATGTGTTGACTTCTATGTAGACAGACATAGCATCTGTTTTCAAGTCATTTGTAAAAATTTTGAATGGTGTAGGACCAAGAACAGATACCTGGGTCATTCTACCTAAGTCCTCCCTCCAAGGTGATAGTGATATATTAATGACTACCCTTTGGGTCAGATTATTCAATCAGTTCCAAATTCACCTAAGTGTGTTATCATCTAACCCACCTCTCCCCATCTTACCCACAAGAACATGAGAGACTTAATCAAATAAATGGGACACTGAATCTGTAGCATTCCCCTTATTTACCAGGCTAATTACTGGGTCAATAAAAGGAAATGATGTTAATCTAGCACTACCTGTTCTTGGTGAAGCCATACTAGCTTTCATTCCTTTTTTTTTTCTTTTTCTTTTTTTTTTTTTGGCTAGGCAATGGGGTTAAGTGACTTGCCCAGGGTCACACAGCAATGTCAAGTGTCTGAGGCCAGATTTGAACTCAGGTCCTCCTGACTCCAAGGCCAGGGCTCTATGCACTGAGCCACCTAGCTGCCCCCATGCTAGCTTTTAGTGGTTACTGCTTCCCTTTTCCTCTCCCAGAGTTCACAAACTACACCTTTAAAATAGTGTCCAAGCACTGATGTGTAGTTTGTAATCTTTACCCCCTGTACTTAAAAAACATTTAGATAACATTTGCCTTTCTCCATCCTATGAGATCTCTCCTACCCTCTTCAGAGCTAAAATGCCAAAAGGCACTCAGAAATTGGGCCTACCATTTTTTAGAACTCTAGGAATGAGTTCATCTGTGCCTAGTTATTTGAGCTCATTGAGAACAAGATTCTCTGTATTACATAACTTCAGTTGCATTTCCACTCTCTGACATACATTTTGGCTTTTCCTTTCTGGGTTTTCCACCTCCAACTCACTTGTCTCCATGGTTCTTACTGTTTCTACCTTAGTAACTAGTTCCTCCTCATTGTTTAGGGTCAGGTCTAAAATAGAAGATCACTTTGTCTTTCTTCCATTTTTCCAAAAAAAGCAAATTAACATGAAACCAAATCTCAAGTTTCTCACCTGAGCTGCTTGGCAGAGAGAGCACAAGCAGATATCCAGCTAGTTATCCCATCATTAGAGCAGCATGCATCCATGTTAAATGTGCATTTTGTTTCCCAAATTCCTCATCTAATTCCTACTTCTGTCTAGGTGGTCTATAGCATGCCTCTATAAAATCATTGAGTCTCATCCCACCAAGCTTCAGTGACACCTTTGAGATCAACCCTTTGGGTTCCATAAATCATCAAGTTTGTTACCCATGCTTTTTGTATTTATACAGAGACATCTGAGGCCAAGGGTTTTATGGCTGTCTCTTTGGATGTTGTCTCCTGGCCTTTATTGTGCAATGCTTCCTGTGAGGAGCAGCTAGGTAGTATAGTATAGGTAGTAGTATAGTATAGTATAGTATATATATATATGTATATATATATAGATAGTAGTATAGTATAGTGAATAGAGAACCGGACTTAGATTACTGAAGAAATAAGTTCAACTCCTGCCTGAGACACTTTTCTAGCTGTGTGATCCAGGGTAAGTCAACTTCTCTGTGCCTCACTTTCCTCATCTGTAAAATTGAGATAGTAAGAGCATCTAACCCACTGAATTTTCATGAGGATCAAATGAAATAACAAATGCAAAATGCTTTGCAAACCTTAAAGCATTAGATAAAAGCTAGCTGTGATGATGATAATGATAAAGCTGATAATGACGATAATTATGTACCTACTCTTTCCTGTGTTATCTGGGCTTCTCAGATCGATGGTGGCAATTCTCTCCCTCTCTTCCCTTTGCAGTATAAAGCCTTCTTTTTTGCATTCATAAGATTCCAACAGAAAAGTTGCACCTTTAAATTATTGCTATTATTGAAGTTGTCATTCAATTCCATTTTCATTCTAAATTCAGCTGAACTTGTCCACCTATGAAAATGAAGATTAAAGGACTTTTTAAAAAGTTATCTCTCAATGATTTTAAAAACCAGATAGCAAAAATGAAAATTTTATTGTCATATTTTACATGAAGGATACGCTTTGGTAACATGGTTATTGTTTATGGTATATTTATTTATTTGGAAAATGACTTAATTCTACCAAAATGTTATTATTTTACAAGGTGGAAGATTCTTGGAAAACAACAGAATTCATTGTTTTGCCTCATCGAGATGCCAAAGACATTTTTATACTGGGTGGGACTGATGACATACAGGTAAGTAACTGCAGTGAGTTGAAAGCTTGAGAGATAGGGTCCCATTGCATTATCCAAGAATTATCTGTACCAGATGCAAACATTTGGACCCATGACCAGAACTTCAGAGCAGAATTGGGAAACCCTTGCCCAAACCATTATAGCTACTGGGTTTCTCTACTTTTATCAGTCAATCAACATGTATATTTTGAACACCTAGTCTGTATTCAGCCCTATGCAAGACTCTGAGGATTATACAGAAGAAATATAAAACATGCTCCCAGTGCTGGAGCACCCAGAAGATATGGTCTAGTTGAGAAGGTTTCATGAAGATGTTATAACTTGAGCTGGCTCTTGAAAGGTGGATTGGATTTAGAGAGGGGGAGAAGGGAAGGCATTCCTAGTGAAAATTGGGAAAATCAAACTGATTCAATTTTGTTATTGATTTCATTCTGTATCACTGCCAACATTTTTATAACTGCCTGAGTCATGTTTCACTTGTCTCAGAGTTAAGCTTGGAAATTCAACTTTCCTGTAAATTACTCATCATCTCTGAGCTAAGTTTAGAAGTTCAGCTCTCCTGATAATCACTGTTCTGGTCTTACCTCAAGGAAACCTGTTAGCCTCGAAGGATGCAGGTGGAAGCCAAGAGTCTGGCCTATTATCCAAGGTCGTCTGGTCCTCTATCGCTAAACTGTCCTTGCAGGTGGACTCAAACAATGAATGTTTCTGGAGATGGAAAAGAGGAGCAGTTGATAGCCCCTCATTACCAATTTCCAGTCATTCATATTGTTCCTCACATCTTGTAACCAATCATACTGTTTTCCCTATCCATGGTGCTGCCTTCTATTTTGGGTGCTCCTCCTTTTGTCTAGAAAAAAGAACTCCTTAGGGGTCTTAGCATTGCTGAGGAGGCAGAGACCGTGTTTATTGGCAAATTCATGCTTTGTCAATAAATTGTGCTCAGAATGTTATGCCTCAGTTTACGTTGATTTTGATCATAATATTGACAAAGTGTACAATCTGCGTAAGGGTATAGCAGTGAGTGAGTGCGCTGTTCTTTGTAATTCTTTTGAAGCTGTAAATATCTATTATTTGTGTATTTAGGAAATATTTTTATACATAGGTATATAAATACCTATAACAGGCTGTTACCTGGGCAGCAAACTATGAAGATTGAATAATCATAAACAAAGTTGTGACTAAGAGAGGAAGAGCCAGCCAGCTGCCCCTCAGCCTGTTTCTAGATGTGTTGTCTCCCTCTATTATAACTGGAGTGCTTGAGAACAGAGACAGCCTTGCCTTTTTATTTTTATCCCCTGTGCTTAGCCCAGTGTTTTTCACATAGCATAAGCTTAAACATTTTAAAAATTCGTTTATTTTATATCACATTCTTTTGTGTTCCAAACTCTAGAAACGAGAGAGAATTCCCCTTCTCTTCTTTATTTTCTCCGTGGAGCCCTTTTATTTTTTCCAAGGAACATTTATTCCATTCTTCCTAATAACACTCTCCTGTTGGCCAAGAAATCAGAAATGTTTTCTCTTTCTCTTTTCATTTTCTCTAAGAAAGTACAAATCAACTTATACTCTGGATATCCATCGGTGTTACATAGTACTGGGAAAAAACATGAACATTGAAGGTCAAAGCAAAATTTCCCTTTCCCTCCATATTTTCATTAAGTAAGTTCAGAGTCCTTTATTCCTCCTCTTCTTCTTCTTCCTCCTCCTCCTCCTTCGTCTTCTTCTCTTCCTCCTCCTCCTTTACTCTCTCCCCCTCCTCTTCTTTTTTCTACTATGGCAAACTGCTTTTCCACATGACTTGAGCTACAAATATAATGAGATTCCCCCACTTCATTTCACCTCAACACTGCCCTCCTTTATACTAAACTCTGTCTCAAAGGAATCAATTTAGCGGACAGAAGTGCTAGGACATGAGCGCAAAAGACACATGGACCCAGAAGAGCCCAAGATCAAATCCAATTATTTAATGAGATCTTTGTACTATATTTTACCTTGTTGCTCTACTCAGGAATTATTGGCTTTTATAAATTCAAAGAAGTGTATGAAGCTTAGGGACTGGCAAGTAGTCCAATCTGACTGGAACATATATAGAGTGTGTGAAGAGGAACAACGTGAAATGAAGCTGGAAAGGCAGGTTGGAGCCAGATTGCAAAGGGCCTTAAATGCCACATTAAAGAATTTGCTTTTTATCCCAGAAGCAATAGGGACCTAGTGAAAGTCTTTTAGGAGGGTAGTGACATCAGCAGACCTGGGCGCTGGGATAAAACAGAGCATTAGTTTGAAAGGGAAGCATCTCGAAGAAGGGAGAAAGGCCAGAAACAAGAAAACCCATTAGGAAGCTACTAGGTAAAAGCTGATGAGAGTGACACTTGGGTGGAAACACAATATGTACAAAAAAGAGAATGTTGTGGACATAGAATCCATATGATTTAGTTACTAAGTGGATTTGGAGGACAAGAGTGAATGAAGAATCCCATGTGACTGTAAGGTTTCAAGCCTGGGGGATGTGGAAGATGGCAGTACCATCAACATAAATATGGACGTTTGGAGGAGGGAAATATTGACAGGGAGGTTGGAGTTTAGTTTGGGACATGTTGAATGGACGGAGCTAGGTGGTGCTTTGTATTCAAAGCCAAGAAGACCTGAGTTCCAATTTGGCCTCCGGCACTTACTAGCCATGTGACCACCTGGGTCAGGTGACAAACTCCCTGTGACTTAGGTTCCTCATCTATAAAATGTGAATAATAATAACCCTACCTCTTAGGGTTGTTGTGAGGGTAAAGTAAGTTAACATATGCAAAGCACTTTGAATATCTTAAAGTGCTCTATAAATGATAGCTATTATAATTATTATCATTGAATTTGATATACTACAGGGACAAGCAGTTGGAGATCACTAGTACAACAGGTCATTGGAGATGTAAGTAAGTTTATAGTTTCAGAAAAAAATTAAAACTATATATATATACTATATGTATATATGGAAGAGGTTTAAAGAGGCATATGTAGAATGATGATAAATGGGGGGAAATGGCACCAGGTAATAGTACCAATGGAAAGAGTACGGAGAGGGAGAAGAGGGACCAGGACAGAGCCTTTGATGGGGGCCACCTATGCTTAGGATTGTAGTAATATAATGAACCAATGAAGGAAGAAAGGAGCAAGTATTTATTAAACACCTACTATATACTAGGAAATGTATCAAGTGCTTTACAAATATTATTTCATTTGATCCTCACAAGAACCATGAGAGATGGATGTTATTATTATCCCCATTTTACAGTTAAAGAAACTGAAGCAGACAGAAGTTAAGTGACTTGTCCAGGTTACATAGCTAGTAAGTGTCTGAGGCTAAATTAGAACTCATGGGTTATGGCCAGGCATAGTAACCCAGAGTGAGAAAGGGTAGTCACTAGTGTTCAAAACTGCAAAAGGATTAAAGAACCTGAGGACTGTGAAAAGTCCTTCAGGTCTGGTGAGCCTTGAGAGAGTGTTTTTAGTAGAGTAATGGAAGCCAGATTGCAAGGGTTTGAGAAGTCAACGGGGAGTCAACCAAATGTGGAGAATGGTGCCTTGTCAATCGTGTTGCTCGTGAAACTCAGGCTAAAAATTGTGGCAAGATGCAAAGACAGAAGAGAAATAGTGGATGAAGGGAAGTGAGAGAGGGACTAGAGACTGAAGAAGTGAGTGTGAAAGAGGTTATAGACCTGGAGATCAGGAGACTGTGATCAAAGAGGAGATTT